CAGACTGTTTTGAGCTGCCACGTGGGTGTTGAAGATGGAACGTGAGTTCTCTGTAAGAGCAGCAAGTGCTCCTAACTACTCAACCATTTCTCTAGATAATAATTTTCTCTAGAAAAAAAATTTTAGGTGAGGCTAGCCTAGACACAACTACCCTATACAAACAGAATATTCTGCAGCTGATTACAGAACTAAGATACCAAGCACAAGTTTTCATTGGCCCATGGCTGGTAGTGTGTGTAGCCCTTTCCTCTGAGATGGAAACATTATCTTCTGCAAGGAAGCACCTTAAACAGGAAGGTTAACAACTCAAAAGAGCTTCAGAAGTACTTGAAACTGACCAGATTCCATAAACCCCTTTCTTCCAAAGAGTAAGCAAGCCAAGTTGCTGTGTCCTTCTCAGAGAAGCCAAAGCACAAAACAGAATCTCAGATAAGCCAGGTTGCAAAAGACAGACCAATTGCCTGGAAGAAGTAGAAACCAGACCAATTGACTGTCTTTTTCAAGTGATTCAGACACATGTACTGCATCTCCCCAGAAAAAGTCTTTCTACACAAGAGCTGGCTGTGAGATGTAGTTACCCCATGCATTGACCAGAGAGAAGCTTTTGTATCCACGAGCTAAGGCCAAAAATCCCAGAACAATGGAGAATGAGGAAACAAGAACCAGTCTGTTGGTATAATTTTTTTTAATGTATACACCTTACCCTTGTTCATTCAAATACTGATTTCTCCCCCACCCCACCTCCAACTTTCTGGTTTCAATCGGATATTGCATTGTGATACTCATTCTAAGCATCCTGTCTCAACTCTTGTGTAAACTAGATACAATGTTGAGCAGGGAGGAGCCAGAGGACAGGAAAGAGGAGTGGGAGGAGAAGGGGCGAGAGGAGAGCAAGGAGAGCAGAGCTGGAGGAGAGATCTTGGAGGACGTGGAGCATGAACCAGACCTAAGATTTCACAAAAAGCAAGTATAATGTGGGAAATCTTAACGTTAGGAAACTGGGGGCTTGGAGGTTTAGGAGGAAGTAAATATTGTTCAGCATTGTGTTCTAGGTTAACTAAAAACCCAGTCTCTGTGTGATGATTTGGTTTACAGCTGCTGAGGATTAACAGCAGCATTACCAGAGATAAATCAATAGAATATTAATCACCACCTACAACACCAGTCTATGACAACAACAACAACAACAAAAAAAAAAAAACAATTTTTGCTTACCATAAGTAAGCTTGCAAGCTGGTTGTCTCCCATAGACAACCCACATGAAGACCAACACATTTATTTCTTCCTGGCGAAAAATTAGACTGAGAACCCAGACATATCCACTCAAACCTATGACCACAGAACTGTGAACTAACAAATGAACATTGTTATAATATGGGACCACAATAGAAGCTGAGGTTCCATTTGAGACCCCACTGGACCCTAACAGGAGGTCTGAGCCTACAACATGACTGGCCTTAGACCTCTGTCAAAGGGAGCAGGCCAAAGTTCCTGTTTTCCTGAAATAGGTCAACATAAGTCAGCATCTACTGAAAAAAACCCAAGGGATGGGCAGCCAATCAGTGGAAGCCTGACCATCTCCAGAGGCCACCTGATCATCTGCCAGACCACCTGCCTGACCACACAATAGGAAAGATAGAGTTATTTAACTTCCAGTTTAGAAATAGTCTGTCTTATGATTAACCTATGGCTATTGACTAGTCCAAAAATTGCTTCCATTTTTCTTTCCCATGCTTGTAAGTTTAAAGGTTCCAATCATACTAAAGGTTACCTAACCCATGCTGGAATTCCCCTTGAGTAACTACAAAAGAAGCCTGAGAGCTCACATCGGGGTCTTTTGCCATTTTGCTTTGCATAGGCAAGGACCTCGGTGCACTGGTCTTCTGCAGACTATAACGCTCTTTGCTGTTTGCATACTATTTGATTCTGGAGTGTATTCTTCAGTAAGTTCCAGACCCTAACAAGAAACTACTGTTCTGTGGAAATATATTTCACAGCAATAGAAAACGTATGGGGGCGGGGGGCATCTGCAACTACCATGGCTAGGAGAGTAATGATCCACGAGAAGACAAGAAGGTTCAACACAACTAAGTAGTTGCCATTGGTTCAATCTTTGAGAATCTGATATGGAGAAGTTTATTTTACGCAAAAAATAACAGCACAATTTGGTGATAATTTTACTGGTGATAAAACAACTCAGTCCCATGTGCAAATCAAAGCTTAAAACATGACTACATTGAAGTTCTTTATAAAGCACATGTGACATCTTCCATAAGGATGGGCTCTCTACATTGACTGAGAAAAACCAGCTCATGATAAGGGTCTGGGAGAGCATATGATGTGGTTTCAGCTACACAGATAGTGCAACAGTAACCAGGCACCACCTCCGTTCTCAGCCTTTTGGGATAAATAAATAAATAAATAAATAAACAAACAAACAAGTAATACATCTCCCCCCTTGAAGAGATAGCACTTTGTGTTTAATATTTCTAGTTCTCCTACTGCTTATCTGTGAGCACAAGTGCTTCCATGCCACTCACAATAAATAAATAAACAAACAAACAAACAAATAAATAAATAAATAAAAAACTGGTGCAGGAGAAGCTGGAGTAAATACCTACAACTGTCAGCCTTTACTAGAATTAGCTGCATAGTTGTGAGAGTGCTAAAGCAGAAGTGATCCACATAAAACTTATCACACAGAATGGCTGTTAAAGCCAGGGTCTGTTTTGTCCAGTACACCTGACAGGAGGCGTTTCTCAAAGAAATGTTGGCATCTAATGGAGTGGAGAGTTCACTGAGTAGAACTTTGGATGTGACAGTATGTTTATTGTTTCTGGCTCTTCTTCTTCCAGTAATGGTGTTTCACTAGTCACCCAGAAACCAAAACCACTCCTGTCCATTTCCAAATATCCTCCCTCACAAGGAGTAGAGCTGAGCAAAGAACTTTTAGGGTTACAATAAGAGCTGTGCAACTATGACGTAACAAGGTTTTAAATTAAAAAAAAAATGTATGGCTGTACCAAATGTTATCACAAAAGTACTTAATTAACTGTAATGTTTCCCAAACTGCATAGCCCTGAGAACCACCAGAGGTCCTCATTGAAAAAAATGACTTTCCAGTTCCTTGTGTAATATGCTCTATAGATTGGAGTGGAGGTCCAAGAAAACCTCAATTTTTTAATTATCTCAAGTAAATATTTTGTCCACGTGAATTTTGAAAATATTGCGTGAGAAATCTACGTATTCATTTATCGAAAATTCAGTATGCTGAACTGTGACTCACCAACATTCTGATACTGTGTCTCTTACAGAGTTGTAAATATCTGGCCCTGAACAATTCTATTATATAAGATATTCAGTTGGTCACACAGTGATTGTAAGTGGAATTGGTGATACTCCCAAACCTTTCCCCTCATTACCAGAATTACTCCTTGAGACAGGTTTTACACACACACTTACACACACACACACACACACACAGAGAGAGAGAGAGAGAGAGAGAGAGAGAGAGAGAGAATTCTATTCCTCACATTTAAAGCACAGACTTCTGATATGGGATGTACGTTTTTCTAGAGACTTAATTTAGGACGCCATGCATGCTGTGTAAGCACTCTACCAATGGGCCATATACCCAGCTCATGGAATTAATAATTTTAAGCCCATGCCTCCAATTTTGTGCCTATTTTACTACTTTTGACTTCCTTTACTAGGTGGTAGGTTTTCCAGATGAAAGTGCTAGTAACTCCTTTCACTGTTCTTTTAATCTTATTCTCAGGATAACCTACCCTGCATTTACTTCCATCCAGCCTCAACTTCCAAATAGCAACTATCCCAGGTGTGTGCACACAATGTAACACCAACAGCCAATGGCATTTCCCACTATTCCCAATGTTTCCCTGCTAATGTCCGATGCCACAGGGTCCTAGCAATAAGGATCTAAAACCCAGAGACTATATGTAAGTGCACAGTCTGTTCCCTCTAGGCTCTCTTACTAATGTTGGTACCAGACTTTCTAAGTCTTCTAATTCTACAGTCTGTCTCAGCTCTCCCTCTACACAGCTAAGCCTCAACTGAATGATAGGATGTATGCTACTCAGGTGGTACAAGCACTTCCAATAGGACAGAACTGACATGACAGTGCCAGGGCTGTTAGTGAATGACTTCCCTATTGCCAGGGTAGAGCCACTGCAGCCATTGGTACTGCTGCTTAGACATGCTTGGGTGACTAAGGTGCCTGCCTATAGGCTACATCTGAGCAGGGTATCTAAGTCCTCTCCATGCATGGCCCTTGGCTGGAGCATTGGTCTCTGAAGGTCCGCTGGGCCTTGACTTTTTGGCTCTGTTGGTCTCCTTGTGGAGCTCCTGTACCCCACAGGTCTTTCTATCTCCTTCTTCTACAATAACATTCCCTAGTAAAAGCAACAAGGGCTGTCTCTGACAAGGAGTCAGCGGCCGGCTCTTTGATCACCTTCCCCCGGTGTGTGTGTGGGGGGTGGGGGGGAGTGGAGCTTTGCCAGGCCACAGAGGAAGAGGATGCAGACGGCTTAATAGGCTAGGATCAGATGGTAGGGAGGAGGACCTCCCCTATCAGTGGGCTAGGGGCGTGACATAGGGAGAGGAAAGGGAGGCAGGACGTGACTAGGAGGAGATGAGGGAGGGGGCTACAGGCGGAATACAAAGTGAATAAATTGTAATAAATAATAAATAAATTTATAAAAAAGAAAGAAATGCTTTGGTGGGCGCCAGGAAAAGTGCAAGCTTAAAGACTTGCCATTAACATAGTCCCGCCCCGCGCCATGCCGCTGACGTAGCCTTTCTCGGGCCTTTTCGCCCCTCCCACAGACTGCTACTCCTCCCCCTAGCAAAACGCTCTGCGGGGACTGAGGAGGTGAAGCCTGGACGGGGATCCACAACAGCTCAGCCCAGGTGCTTCCAGCTCCTACCGGACGGAGGCGCACTGGGTCCTGTCCTCGGTCTCCCACGGAAGTGTATTTGGGCGCACCGGAAGCCACTCGGGGTGAGCCATGGCGGGTTTGCCTGTTAGAGACCCAGCGGTGGATCGTTCTCTGCGTTCTGTGTTCGGTGAGAGGATTTCGGTGGTGCCTCCAGTAAGGGAGGGACATTCCCTGCGGTCCCCATCTGGACCGGGTGTCCGGGCATGCATGCGGTTTAGCTGCTGTCCTTTGACGCGGCCGACTGGTGTACTCGTGGGCAGACAGATGCTCCCTCTCACCCCACCCCCTTCGGCCCCTAGGTATCGGAGGTTTGCTGTAGTAAGGTTCAAGAAGCTAGATTCTAGCGTTTGTCTTTTTGCGTTATCCCCTTCATGATTCTCAGTTATTTTTTTAGGAGAAAAGGTGTGTGGAAACAGAGCTTCTCTTTTCCGTGCTGCTTCTAGCCCAAAATACAGATTTTATTCTGAAGCCATCGATCCCCATATCCACTTCCCGCCCTCTCATAAACGTGTAATGTCGCTTGTTTTTTACTTATAACGTTGCATCCAACCATACTGGTAGCAGCCACCTGGCATCTTGAGGTGGGTTGTGAGTGAATGAACGAGTGAGTGAATGAATGAGTAACGCTCAAGGAGATTTCAGAGGAACAAAACTAAGCATTTCTTGGGATTTAAATGTGTTATTTCTGTGTGTATTGCTTTTAAAGAACGTTTTAGGGTGGTAAAGTTGCCTCGAATTCAAAGGCAGCCTAAGCTACACACCAAGGCTCTTCCTTAAGACAAAAATAACAAGAAAGAAGCACTGTTTAAAAGAGACATGATAAAGTTCAGAATAATTTTTAAACACTTTTTTTTGCTATATTCATGGCTGTTCCTCTATGAGTGTGTATACATGGAAATAAAAACATGAAACCTCCTCCTAACCCCCTTCTTAAAATTTTTATTTTTAGTAGTCACTGGTAAGACTTAACAGGGCTTTGGATAAATACTAGTTCTTAAACATTTATTTTCATCATAGTTAAGGAAAAACTTTTTATTTGTCATCAATATGAGAACTTTTTGAAAGACACCATTTTTTATTTAGTCTCTGGCTCATTTCCCTTGTTATGAGGCCTGAAAAGATAGAGTAGAAGCCGAGATTTTGGAGAACAATGAGTTCAGTCAGTTGTTACATATATATTTATACAAATAGAAAGCCTACTGTTTACTTTCTCACTGAAAAGTTCTGTTGCTGTCCCAGAATTGTAACGTGTTATGTATTCCTTAGTGGGAAACATTCCTTACGAAGCTACTGAAGAACAACTGAAGGACATCTTCTCTGAGGTTGGGCCTGTTGTTAGTTTCAGGTGAGATCTTTCAAGAATCTTCCCTGTGAGATTCTTAAAAATCACAAATTTTGAGATAAATATGCTTGCTCTATAATTCATATTTACTCCTACCCAAAAGATTTCTTCCATTAAAAACTATGCCACAGAGAAAGAGGATTCAGACAGTCCTGATGAGACCTGATAGACTAGAGTCAGATAGTAGGGGAGGAGGACCTTCCCTTTCAGTGGACTAGGGGAGAGACATAGTGGGGGAAGAGGGAGGTTGGGACAGAGCGAAGAAGAGGAAGGGGGCTACAGCCAGGACACAAAGTGAATAAATTGTAATAAATAATGATAATGAAAAAAATTTTAAAAAATATTTCACTCTGCCCAAAGGTTGCCCATAAGTCTCAGTATCTACATTGATAGTCTGCAGGGCAGAGATTTTCAGAGGTCCTCTGTGTCAGGCTCCTGACTTGTTCCCTCTTTTCTCCTTCTTCTGATGTCCAGCCTCTTTGCCTTTCTGGATAGGAATTGAGCATTTTAGCAAGAGTCCTCCCTCTTGATTAGTTTCTTTAGGTGTAGAGATTTTAGTAGGTTTATCCTATATTATATGTAGTGAGTATATACCGTGTGCATCGTTCTGCTTCTGGGATAGCTCACTCAGGATGATCTTTTCCAGATCCCACCATTTACCTGCAGATTTCATGATTTCCTTGTTTTTTATTGCTGAGTGCAGGGAATGTTAGGAAAGAAGTGGGAAATAGTAATATCTGGAGAGGACAGGAACTCCATAAGGAGAGCAACAGAACCAAAAAAATCTGAGCACAGGGTTCTTTCCTGAGACTGCTATTCCAACCAAGGACTATGCATGGAGATAACCTAAGACCCCTGCACAGATATAGCCCATGGCAGTTCAGTATCCAAGTGGGTTCCATTGTAATAGGAACAGGGACTGTCTCTGACATGAACTGATTGGCCTGCTTTTTGATTTCCTCCCCCTGAGGGGGAAGCAGCATTACCAGGCCACAGAAGAAGACAATGCAGCCACTCCTGATGAGACCTAATTGACTAGGATCAGAAGGAAGGAAAAGAAGTCTCCCCTATCAGTGGACTTGGGGAGGGGCATGCAGGCAGAAGGTGGAGGACAGGAGGGATTGGGATGGGAGGAGGGAGGTAACCACGGGGGGTGGGATACAAAGTGAGTAAAGTATAATTAATAAAGAAAAATGAAAAAAATATTTCACAACTCCCTATGCTTCTCCCAGTGTTTGGCTGTGAGTCTTAGCATCTGTTTCCATCCAGAGGAGCCTCTCAGAGGACAGCTATGCTACGCTCTTGTCCATGACCATAGCAAAATACCATTAATAGTATCAGGTTGGCTCTCACCCATCGGGTGGTTATCAGGTTGGGACAGACATTGTTTGGACATTCCCTCAGTCTCTGCTCTATCTTTATCCCTGTATGTCTTGTAGGCAGTGTAAATTTTGGTTGAAGATTTTGTGGGTGAGTTAGTGTCTTCTCCCTCCAATAGGAGTCCTTTCTAATTAGAGGGTGTCCCCTTCAGTCTCCATGACCCCTGCTACTAGGAGTCTCAACTAAAGTCACCCCCATATCCTTCCCGAAACTTACCCTGTCTTAAGTCAGAAGACCAACAGAGCCAACTAACAAAGGCCCAAAGGGGCTTGTGGAGACTGAAGCACCAACCATGCATAGACTGGACCTAGGCCCCCTACAGAGTTGTAGCTGATGGACAGCTCGGCCTTGATATGGGTACCCTAGTAAGAAGAAGGGGGCTATCTCTGACATGGACCCTGTTGCCTGCTTTTTGATCACTCTGATCAAAAAGCCTCTGATGGGGCTGCCTTGCCAGGTGTCAGGAAGAGGACACATTCAGTCCTGATGAAATATGATGAACTGGGATGGGGGCCCTTCCCTTTTCTGAGGAATAAGGGAGGAGGTATAGGGGAAGAGGGAGGGAGGGTGAATTGATCTGGATGTAAAATGACTTAATTAAATAATTAAAATGTCTCAATACCAAGAAGGCAGTCAGAGTTAGAAGGATATCTATCTTACTGTGGACTAAGTTAGAACATGGCAATGTTAACAGGAAGTGTGTGTGTGTGTGTGTATGTGTGTGTAATATTTGTTCCTGATCCTTGGTTTTGTTTGTCAGATTGGTATATGATAGGGAGACAGGAAAACCAAAGGGTTATGGCTTCTGCGAATACCAAGACCAAGAGACAGCACTTAGTGCTATGCGGAACCTGAATGGTCGTGAATTCAGTGGGAGAGCACTTCGAGTGGATAATGCTGCCAGTGAAAAAAACAAAGAAGAACTGAAGAGTGAGTATGAATTCGAGCCCTATGCATTACAAGTTAGTGAAGATGAAAGAATGGAAGTTTTTCATTTGAGATTATGTTTTAGAAGATGCTAAGGTGGTTAGCTGAATGAATAGCTTCTTAGGACCTGAGGTGCCTGAGGGAGGCATGTCTGTGTTTAAGAAGTGGGAAATAGTAAGAGCTGGAGGGGATGGGAACTCCACAAGGAGAGCAACAGAACAAGATAATTTGAACACAGGGAACTTCCCAGAGACTCATACTCCAACCAAGGACTATTCGTGGTGATAACCTAGAACTCCTGCACAGATGTAGCCCATGGCAGTTCAGTGTCCAAGTGGGTTACATAGTAATGAGAAGAGGGACTGCCTCTGACATAATCTGATTGGCCTGCTCTTTGATCACCTCCCCTTGAGTGGGGAGCAGCCTTACCAGGCCACGGTAGAGGACAATGCATCTACTTTTGATGAGAACTGATCGACTAAGATCAGAAAGGAGAGGAGAACCTCCCCTATCAGTGGACTTGGGGAGTGGCATGCATGCAGAAAGGGGAGGGAGAGTGGGATCAGGAGGGGAGGAGGGAGGGGCTTATGGGGGGATACAAAATGAATAAAGTGTAATTAATAAAAAAAAAAGAAACTTAGTTTTAGAAATCCTTCTGTTAGTAGTTTTCAGTTTAAGAGAAGAAATTCAGGTCCACCAAAGCCATCCATTACTTCTCTGTGTTGCCGGATTAGAAACTTATCTAATCTAGTACTTAGTTGGGGTACTAGGCATTTCTACAAATTCTCTGTTGAAATTAACATCTTTTGTCTGTTTCAGTGTTTTTCTTATAAATGTCAGTCATGACATTTCACTGCTCTAGCTTTCCTCCAAGAAAGGAAGACAGACTCACTTTTCCTTCACAGAAATGAGATTCTCAGGTGGCTTTGGTCTAAGCCCCAGAGAGTTTCAAATTACTGCTTAGTGATTATAGCAGCCTGGGGAAATAGATGCTTGAAATGACTTAGGTTGTTGTTTTGCCTTTCTGACTTTCTTGTGCTTTCTTCCTAATCAGGCCTTGGCACTGGTGCACCTGTCATAGAGTCCCCTTATGGAGAGACCATCAGCCCTGAGGATGCCCCTGAATCCATTAGCAAAGCAGTTGCCAGTCTTCCACCAGAACAGATGTTTGAGCTGATGAAACAAATGAAGGTGGGAGGAGGCTTTAAATTATAAACAAAACAGTTTACAACAGATTTTCAAGGACCTAGTAGACATAATTCCCTGAGCTTAAATAGTTGACTCTCTAGACACTATTTCTTCCACATTTTGTACACAGAGGCATTTTTATATACAAACAGACCTGCCCAAACAATCCAGCTATGTTTCTGTGTCCCCTGTAGATGTTATATTATAGTGTTTTCCCCTAAGTGATATTACAGTAAATCCCTTTTCTTCTTGCCTGCCATAGCCAGAATTTTGTGTTTAGTGTCAAAATCAGTGCTAGATCACCAGCCTGGTGTTGTATACTTATAGTCCCACCACTTGGGATGCTGAAGCATAAGGGTCACAGTGAGTTCAAACCCAGAATGGGATACATGAGACATTGTCTCAGAAAGAAAGTCAGTGGTAAATCAGAGGGGATGAGGATGGTTCAAATCACTATGAGATTCTTAGTATCAAACCTAAAGGTGAATTTTCTTAACTTCTCAGCTCTGTGTTCAGAATAGTCCCCAGGAAGCACGAAACATGTTGCTCCAGAATCCACAGCTGGCTTATGCTTTGCTGCAAGCACAGGTAGTGATGAGAATTGTGGATCCTGAGATTGCCCTGGTGAGTGTTTCCGGTTCTTATGTGGAACTAGCAGGGTAATCTTTGACTGGGATAGGAACTGCCTGATTGTCTTGTTAAACAGACAGCTCATAGATATATCTTTTCACTTTTTAGAAAATTCTGCATCGCCAGACAAATATCCCAACGCTGATTTCAGGCAACCCTCAGCCAGTCCATGTTGCTGGTCCTGGCTCGGGACCCAGTGTTTCAATGAACCAGCAGAATCCTCAGGCCCCTCAGGCACAATCTTTGGTAGGGCAGTATTCTACAACACTTTTTTAAAATCTGTCTTAAAATGTTATTTTCTTTCCAGGAGACTATTGAGAGAAGAAACAACAGGAATCAGAGATGGTAATTAAAATTTTTCAGGCATAAAAGCAATTTCCAGATTGCAGAACACATGCCACCTGAAAGAATTTAGATTCCGTTCCAAGTTAATAAAACAAAGTGATCCCCCCTATAAGCATTTTTCTAATGAGCTATTTTTTTATAGGTGTGTTGTCTGCCACTATGGTTATCACTTCAATATCCTATGCTATTTAATCCTCATAGCAACAAAAGGAGGTGAGCACTCTTACTGTCTGCATTCTCAGCAACAACAAAGGAAAAAGCTCATGTTCAAAGACATGCCTGTAACCCTGCAGGCATAAAACTGACACATCTAAAGGTTGACATGTGCAGAAGGCTAATTTTAAATAAAGAGTACTTGGTCATGATCAAAGATGTATATTGCCATATGATAATAACAGTACAACTATTAGAAACATGAATGAAAAATGGAGAAAATTTGGTTACCTATTCAATGGAAAACTTAAAACTGTTATGTAAACGGCATATATCAATAGGAATGTCTAAGAAACCTGACACAGTACATTAAGTTAGGCAAGAATAGGTAATATCAACACAGATAATGTAAAAATATACTACCATACAGAAAGTAAAACTAAATATGGAAACATTTTCCATGTGGCTATAGATATCAGCATAAATTCGCAAACTGTTAAGTGAAATGTAACAATAGTACAATATATAAAGATAACTACATTTTAAAGATTTATTTTGTTTTATGTATATCTGTTTTTAGACATGTGTTTAAGTACATTGTAGGTAAGTAGTTTCTGAGGAGGCCAGAAGAGGATGTCAGATTTTCTGGAATTTGAGTTATATAGACCATTTTGAGCTTCTGTGTGGGTGCTGGAAAGTGAACTTAAGTCCTCTGCAAGAGAAGCAAGTGTTTATAAACTTTGAACCACCTCTCTAGCCCAAAGATAAATATTTTAAACATGTGTAAGAATTCAGCCAGGAGTGGTGGTGCATGCCTTTAATCCTAATACTCACGGAGACAAAGGCAGGTTGAACTCAGAGTTCGAGGCCAGCTTGGTCTACAAAGTGAATCCAGGACAGCCAAGGCTACAAAGAGAACGTTCAACCCTGTCTCAAAGAAAAAAAAAATCTTTGAATAATCAGTAATTTAAGTAGAAAAAAACTGTAACTGAAAAAAAACACACAGGAGATTGTGTTATTTATATATATATATATAGATCTACGTAGATATATATATATATTTATAGATATAGACATATACATAGGTAGATCTATCTATCTATCTAGATATAGCCTATCTATATAGATATAGATATATCTACTTATAGATATATCTAGATATAAAGATATATATCTAGATAGATAGATATATCTGTGTAGAGACATCTGTATATATGTGTATGTGTATTTTTTCAGAAGCAATAAAGCCTATAACTTAGTAAACAAACAAACAAAAACCAAAATGAGTAGTGGACAGTTCACAAAACTGAAAATAAAACATTCAACCTTAAAGTAAGATAAATAAATATAAGCTAAAGTAAGCTACCAGATGGGGAAACATAAATAATGTGGATGAATCCAATGATGGTATAGGGCAAGGATTAGTAAGCATCTTCTTCAGGAACAAAGATAGTAAATATATTTGTTTTTACAAGCTCTAATGATCTCTGCAACGTGTAAAATGTGATTGAATCCCAGGAAAGCCGTATTTTAAAGCCACTGATAGAAACAGGCATGGTGGAGCATACCTATAATCCTCTGCACTTAGAAGGTAAATGTGGGCAGATTGAGAGTTCAAGGTCATCCATAGCCACCTAGCAAAATTGAAACCAGTCTGAGTTATTAGACCCTGCCTCATGAAACAAACAAAAGACTAGAACCTTCAGAAAGGAAAGTTGTTTGCAATCAAGCCTGACAACCTGAGTTCAATCCGTGGGACCCACATTGTGGAAGGAGAGGGTGTCTTCCTGCAAATTGTCCTCAAGTGCCATCTTGTTAGCCATCCATCCATCTATTCATTGCATGAGCAGATGGATGGATGGCTAACAAGATGGCTCAGTAGATAAAGGTACTTGTTGCCATATCTCCCCAAGTGACACATAGTAGAAAAGGGGAACTTAAACAACATTCCCACTAGAGTGTACATATGAACCCAAGTTAGGGGAAAAGTTGTAGATAGGGTCTCAGTATGTAGCTCTGGCTGTACTGGAACTCACTGTGTAGACCAGGCTTTCCTTTAAACTCTGAGATCCACCTGTCTGCCTCCTGAATGCATGTGCCACTATGCCCAGCCTGAAAAAAAAATTAACTGGTGATGAGTTTAACCAATTTGGTGGTGCACGCCTTTAATCCTAGCACTTGAGAGGCAGAAGCGTCTGGATTTCTGAGTTTGAAGCCAGCCTGGTCTATATAGAAAGTTCCAGGACAGCCAGAGCTACAAAGAAAACAAACAAAAAGAAAAGAGGAATTTAGCCAATGAGCAATAGTTTACCATCCTCTGTCCTAAACAAGTATTTTGCAGAAATGGAAAATTAACTAAGACTGAAAATTCAACTGTTCTAAAAGAATGGTAAGTGGCAAACCTGGGGTCTGAAAGTAGTCTAATATCAACCTGTTTTAACCACCTCCCTGTGTACTTTTCTGTTTTTTAGTTTCAATTACAGTGAACATGTATGATTTTTTAAAATATTCATACAAATTTTTTTGCAATGTATTGTTGTGCTTGTTGTTATATTTTTAGTTTCTGTTGTTGTAAACCTATAAGTTTGACCTTGAAGGGGAATAGTGATATATACAGACAAGTTAAAAAAATATCAAAGGCTTCAAGCATACACTGGAGGTCCTGAAATGTATGTCTGCAGAAAACAAGGTGCTAATACATTTCACTCTACCACTCTACCATCACCACTCGTAATGGTGAGTTTAGTCATGAAAATGTGAGCCAGTAATGATCTATTTAGATTCATGCTATTTTGGACCTTATGCAACAGGCAAACCACTGCTGTTGGCTCAAGAAACACTAGATATGAGCAGCATTTCCACTCTGAATCTCCATCCTCACTTCTTTATTACTGAAATGTCACTCTACACAGACTGCAAACATGTAGAAAGAGAGGGGACTACTGAGCTCAGACTCAACTTTCTTTTTGGTGCTCGTGTATTTATCTGTTTTGAAACTTTTCTTTACATTTTATTTTTTTTATTTTTATTTTTTAAAGAATGTTTTTTTAATTAATTTATTTATTATATATACAATGTTCTGCCTCCATGTATACCTATATGCCATAAGAGGGCATCAGATCTCATTATAGATGGTTGTGAGCCACCATGTGGTTGCTGGGAATTGAACTCAGGACCTCTGGAAGAGCAGACAGTGCTCTTAACCTCTGAGCCACCTCTCCAGCCCATTTCTTTACAATTTAAAGCCGTGTATTTCTCTAGGAAATGCCCCATGAAAAGATTGCATTCCATTTCTCTCAGGCAGTTTAACAAAAAAAAAAAAAAGAAAGAAAGAAAAAGGAAAGAAACACCCCCAAGAACAAGTTATTAAAACTTGAACAAATGAAAATTCTTTTCATCTTAAAAGTGTAAGAGTACCAGCAAGAAATTTTTGAAGTCTCAGTCCCTTTTTTTATCTTGAGTATAAGGCATTAAAAAAACAAAACAAAAACACTCTTACTCTTAGGCACCTATCAGTGAATGAGTTATTTGCTGCCTTGACATGTGGAGAAAACGTACTTGTCTGTCACTACATTAGACATACTCCATCTTAACCGGATTCACGTAACCGGACTTAGGTTATGTACTAAGGTTTTCTTCTGTGGAACGTGTGATAAAACTAATGTTATAGAAGACATGTCATAGAAAAAGGATGTTTGGCAGACTACTGGAACTTCCAATTTTAAGAAAAACTTAAGGCCATAAACGAAATATTTTGAGTTTCTACAGAAATGTGCTCATACTTGTTTTTTAATTCTTCAGGGTGGAATGCATGTCAATGGCGCACCTCCTCTGATGCAAGCTTCTATGCCAGGTGGAGTTCCAGCCCCAGTGCAAATGGGAGCTGCTGTAGCAGGACCTGGCCCTGCTTCCTTAGCCCCTGCAGGTAACTTGTAGTAGAGTTTTTACCATTTTTTTTTTTTACTTTGTTGAGGTTTTATAGTAGTAACTGCTTAAATGTAGCCAATTATGTGTGACAATAGGATCTTGAGATAAAATAAATGTATAACTGTAACATGTATTCTAGGCTGAGGAAACTAGATGATTTCTTCTTTGTTTTGTATTGTTGTTAAGAAAAGATCATGCTTGGTAGTTGGGGCTAGCCTGAAACTTACAATCCCCCTATTTCAGATGCCCAAGTGCTGGGATTAGAGACTTATGATGCCGCCAATGTGCTGGTCATACACTTGGATGTCACACCATTGGCAAACTGCCATATTAATTTCTAAATATCTGTTCTCCATTTCTGTATGTACATTGTCATGAAATGCTGATATATAGGCTATTAATCAGTATCTTCACTGGACATGTTGAGTAACCTTGCCATAGTGAATAAAAAATAGCTGTGCATATTCAAGGGATAATTAATAGAATCCATAAGCTCCTCTTAATATTTAAAGATAACCTTACATCTTTTGTCTGCAGAATAGAGTCCCCTACTCCAAATGACCATAGAACCCTTAAAAAAATAAGACCACATACTTTGCCATGAGTTAAATTTAACAAATTTGAGGCGGTAGAGTTTTTGCAGATTATATTATTTGATTTTAAACCAGTAAAAGTAGAAATTAATAATTAAAAGGTGAGTAGGAAGAAATCTGAACTTGGAAAATTAAGAAACATACTATAGTTATTTAAAGAGCTATTTAAAACTTTATAAGTGGTGTAAGTTAAAACAAAAAGTTTTATATATATATATATTTCATACAAACAAGTATGAGAAATAGTAAAGATAGTGCCTAAAGGAAAATGAATATTCTTAAATACCCATATTACTAAAAAATAGAGTAATTACATATTAGTTCTAAATAATTAGAAAAATAATAAACTACAAAGACCACAAAGAGGGAATTAATGCATATTGGGGTGTCGCAAAGCCCATGTTCAGTCCCTACCACCAAATAAAAAAAAATATACTATCAAAATAACTTTCCCCAAAAAAGAGAACCAAAAGACAAAAACTGAGCATATTCATGAAATTTAAATAATTAACTTTCAAGGATGTTTTGGAGTTTATAGTATTTATAGTTATGAATTCATTAAAACTTCATGGAAAATTTGAGCTGTCCTACAGAGCTCTTTGAAAACTGATAAGAGGGAAAACAACCTACAGAAAAATAGAAGAAGAAACTTTTAAGAGGTTCATATAAGAGCAAAGCCAGGTCACCAACAAAACAGCCTCATTTATAGCTTGGGGGTTGCACTTAACTCAGTGCCAAGTTTCATTTGAGAAGATAGTATTTGTAAAGAAATTTGTACTCATACATCACTGGTAGAAATAGGGAGGTTTTCAAACTTTGAACAGAGTATTATAATATGAAAGATTTATGTATTCTGATCACCAGTTCCACCACTGGGGATTTAGCCTATACAAATAAAAGAGGTGTTATGTGATGATTTCTTTATGTGGGAAATTATGCTCATAATGCCTTCTGCTATCTCTTCCTCAGATCCTAAATCTTTGTATTGTGTTGGTGATTGGTCTAGAGTCAATGGAATACAATGCTGTGGCTGGAAGGAAGCTTTGAAATCATTTAGACTAGTGATTTTCAGACTTTAATGTGTGTTAAAATCACCTCAAGGGCCTATGAAAAGCAGATTGATATTCCCTGCTGCCAAACTATAATTTAATTAGTCTGAGGTGCAGAACCCACAGTTTTTCAGTTTTTGCATTTTTTTTTTTCTTGTTGATTCTGATATGGCTTGTCTTGCTGGTGACTACATTATAAGGACATTTGGAGCAACTTGTTCATTTTACAAATAAGGAAGCCGGGAATGTAGTGTTTTTATTGAGTTAGAATTACAGTTACTTAGAGCTGGGTTAGTGCCCAGTTCTTTGGGTACTTAATTCATAACTTTTTTAGTGCTTAGCATGTTCAAAGAAATAGGGACAATGTGATGTGTACTTTCTATTTTAAGGAAGTATTAATGAACTGCAAACAAATCAGCTTGCCTTTTGTCCCCACTCAACAGCATATCTTGCTCCTTTGAGGAAAAGAGAATTATTGCTATGTGGAAGGGACCAGACAAGGATTTCTGGTGCGTGATTATTCTTTATATAGTAGTCATCATACCCCATCTGGTTAGTGTAGAGCATAGGTTCTCAACCCTGTTAAGTCCAGTATCCCCTTTTTGTAACAGATATTTTACAGTGCCTTTACTGTTCTGAAATACAGTGCACAGATGATACAACCTTTGAAATATGACTTCAAAAATTAATATAATGCTCTAACTGTAAGAAATGAAACGTAAAAGAAAATTAACTTAATGATTAAAAAATTAATATGTAAATGTCCATGGACAGTTAGAAAACAAAATGTAATAGGTGTTTACATCTATCCCGTGAACATAAAAACTAAAAATGTAGACAGATATATTGGTTTGCTTTGGTAATTCAGATGCCACAAGGGCTATTGATGTGGTTTTCCTAAATAGTAAAAATCCTACTAAAATTCTTAAAACAAATTTCAGTCTCCATAATTTGCTCAGTAATTGCATTTCTGGAAAAGTCAGTGACTATATACTAAAACAGTGCATATAACTCTTGTGTTTACAAATAAAACAGACTCAGATTCTAGGTTGAGATGACAACAAACAGCATTTTCTTTGTATGAAGGTTCAGTGAAGCATTTGAAAGTTTTATTAGACACAAGATAAGCCTTGATTTTTGTGGGATTGTATCATACTTTGTAATCCACCTAGTATCCCTGGCACTAGCTTTATGCCCCCAAAGGCTTTGTCATAACTAAATAATATACCCACACATTTAGAAAAATACCCTAAGATTGATACTGCCTCCCATGAGAGGAGGCTTATGGGTAAGAGGCATTGTTTTCTTTTATTTAAGTGCTTTTTGCCACAATTTTGGTAATCGAGGAAATGAGTACTCCTGAACTCACTTGTCACTGATGTGTGACATAACTGACAAACTTCATCTTTTGTCTCACTGCATTGTTGAATGGTAATTATCACCTTCCATCATAAGTTTCTCCTTGTGGGAAAAAAATGATGACATTTATAAACTCAGTGTTGTTTTTTTTTCTATAGGAACAATTTATGTTTTCTGCCTGCCCTTTATTTTCTAGGAGTCATGCAACCCCAAGTTGGAATTCAAGGAGGTGGACCAGTGCCCATGGAACGAGGACAAGGTAAATATTAATATCTGAAGAATATAAACTAGACATGGTAACATTTTATATCCATACTAATATGTCAGCCATTAACTTCCAGTGGCAGTTTAAAGATTAAGTTAATTAAAATTAAGTTCAAATTAATTATAAAAGCCTAACACTCTGATATCCTGGATATAATAACCAAGTGCTCAGTAGCCACAAATGGTCATGAAGACCACATTGGATATTGGAGATGTAGAATGTTTCTATCCACACTAAAACTTCTGTTGGCCTAGACTTTCCATAGAGGATTCAGAGCCTAGCTCTACAAGAATTGGTGATGTGACAGATGTGTCCTTTGTTTCCTGATATTCTAATATCTCCAATGGCGTGGTCTCACTCAGTCTGTGAATAGCTATTGACTTTGTAAGAAATTTTAATAGTGAACATTTAGTATATGCTTGGATCTATAGATGACGAGATGTAAATTCCATAGCAAACTGGGAGGGAAGCAGAGGTCTGTAAATCATAGTTGTAAAGTGTCTCCTGTGCTGTGGCAAAAAAACAAAACAAAACCTTGTATGTAATAGCAACAGCCCTTCTAGAATCTTTGTGTTCTTTCCTCATGTTACTGGAGTTTGAAGGAAAAGAAAATACAGTAGTTCAGTTAAAAAATGAGAGACAATGGAATAAAGAGGAGCAGAATATATATTGTAAATGCTCAGTCACTTCCATTTTCATAGACAGCCCTTTGATTTAGGTAGCCGTGCCTCAGTTTTACAGGTAAAGAAGTAGAAGCACAGGAGTGTTAAGTTTCTTATTTCTGAATATTGTGGCCTGAATCTGGTGCTCTTCTCTTTTGATTTAGATTAAAGTCTCTAAATCCAAAATCTGTTCTCTTGTCTTCATTCTATCTTGCCACTGTTAATTTCAGAATTAATTTTCAAAATACTCTTCTTATTTATTAGGTTTCTGTATTGCAAATAGATTACTTTGGACAGACCAAAAGGGCTTAATAGCTTTCTTCTTGGTTGATTTCCTATCAGAGAAACCCATTTCAAAAGCAAAATACTAAGATAGAGCCCCATGGTTGGTATACAGGGATTGGTGACTGAAATTTTTCTAAACATGTCTCATCAGATGAATGGCAACAAGACAAACTTCTAGCCATATATGTTATCTTCTCTCTAAAGTACCCTGTTGAATGATTATTAATACTTAATATTGATTTATATTTTAGTAAAATAGTTGTCACTCCCTAACCAGTTATATACTCAAGTAACCACACGGAGAGACAGGGATATATTTAATTAGCCTAGAGTACAATGCTGCATAATAATTACTCCATCCTAAACCTCTAAGCTAATATAGCTCCTCCCATTCAGATTTCCCACATTATACTTGCTTTTAGTCATATCATGGGTTTGATTCATTTCTCCTGATGTTTCCCAGTCCTCTCCTCACAGATCCCTCCTTCACTCCTTTCTTTTCTCTTCCCCTCACTTGACCAGGATGTCCAACCCTGTTCTCTGTATTGATGAGCATTGGCTAGTGGGCTTTTATTGGTAATACAGAGAGCAAATGGTGACATGTTTACACAAACTTGAAACAGGAGATGCTTAGAATAAACATCACAATGCAGTGTCTGGATTGAAACCAGATAGTGGGATACAGAAATAAGCATTGGATGAACAAGGGTAAACTATACACAATCCACAAGAGCACTATGCCAATAGTAACCCATTTTTCTGTGCTGCTGTATACTCCCCATACCATTATTGTCAGTACGTGCTGTGCTGATCCTCCAGAGTATCTTTGCAGTAGTGAAAGGGCTTAGACTTCCATTACTTGCTCCCTCTTCCCAGGCCATTAGTCTAATTAGTGAGTCCCTAAGCTGTTTAACACATACATCTAAGAGACATCTTTCTTCCTACTGTAGTTTAATTTCATCTTTCTGCTGAAAACTAACAAAAGGAATTGACTCCCTTTTTGAAAGTAAGTCAAGGATCTGTTGACGCAAAGACAAAGTGAGATGAGTTTTAAAAAATAATTTCCTTCAGTACCCAGCAGAGAAAACAATAATGTTTTCATTTATGACCAGATTTGTCTTCCTTTGCCTGGAATCCTTGTTTGCTTTGTGTGTTTGTAATGGTGACAGATGTTTGAGATAGTACTTCTTGCTTTCCCACCTCCTTTAATGTTGGTTACCTTGTCGACTCACTAAACTTTGTTATGTTTTTTTTATAGTTATAGAATTGCTGTATTGGGCTATTTCTTGCAGAGTGATCCTCTTTCCTCATTTAAAATTCATCAGCTGTATATTCCTATTACATATGTGTGTGTATATATATATATGTTTATATATGTGTATATTTATGTCTATATATATGTGTGAATATATATATTGAGGTGTGGCTTTTATGCATTGACTTGGCTGTCCTGAGCTTGCTTTATAGACCAGGATAGCCTCGAATTCAGTGATTGACATGCCTCTGTGCCTCCCTGAGTGCTGAGATTAAAGGCAAGTGGCACCACACTTGGCTCCCGTTTGACATTTTTGACAGAAATTTTTAGACTTTAAAATAAGGCATATATGGCTTTCCGTGATAAATCTCGCATGTCACATTCAATGCAATTTCTTTCATGTTTTGCTTCTGAAAACATATTTTTCCCTGTTTTCTTCATTTTTAAATAATGGTACAGGGGGGTACAAAGGAAAATACTGTAGTAACAGGAAGAAGAATTCAGAATTGCTGGTTATTCTTGCCCAAATAAGACAGCCCATAGTTTTCCCTTAAGAAAGATGTCTGATTAAAGTGGAACTGTTTGGATAAGAGAAAGGCCTACTTTAGGGAGTTTTGTAATCTGGGACAAATTAACAATCTCTTCGCTTCTTACTGACATGTAAATCTTCAGTCTCCATATGTGTAGACTTCTATGTGTGTTCAAGCTATTTTAAGTGTCTGCTATTTCTCCTTTTGAACTTACGCTCGCCTAGGAACCCTACAGCACTCGCCTGTGGGACCCGCCGGGCCTGCATCAATTGAGCGAGTTCAAGGTACCCATTGTATCTGTGGGTTTCTTTTTGCTTGTTGTGCTTATGGTGGGACTTGGAGAGGAAAAGAGCTACTTTGAAGTCATCCTCACATTCAGAACCCCAAAAGGGTAGTATTTGGGGTTTGTTTTTGTTTTATTTTGTTTAGTTTTTGTTATTATTTTTGTTGTTCTTTTTTTCCCTCTTGAGGCCACAAGCCTAAGATTGACCTCTTCACACAGGGCAGAGAACATGGATGATATGGGCATCTGTCTGAGGGTCTACTCCTTCCTTACTGGTATCAGGAGGCTTGGATGGAATAGCAGTCTGTAAGGAGACAGCAAGTGTTCTTGCAGAGCCGTGACAGTGTTCATATACAAAGACCTTACCTCTCTTTTGTGACTCTGGTACTTAAACTAAGATTGATAAGAAGGAAAACCAGGAACATAAATTTCTTCAGGTGCTAGTCCTTGCCGGCTTACTTACCAGTTTGCTCTTTATAAACATAATTCCATCCATACCTCTGACATGGCACAGATTCTACCTACACCCTGCTTCTTCTGTTCTTGAGATGCAGGAGGATTCTGCTGTGGTGAGGTTTCACCCACTCTAAGGTGTTTAAATTATGTTGTCAGTGGTATAGATTCATTTCCTGTATTTCACCGTAGTAACTCCCCGTTTGTTTCCCTGTTAGTGCCAATACAAGATCCCAGAGCAGCTATGCAGCGGGGAGCATTACCTGCCAATGTCCCAACTCCTCGTGGTCTCTTAGGAGATGCTCCCAATGACCCAAGGGGAGGCACTTTAATGTCTGTAACTGGAGAGGTAGAGCCTAGGTAAGTACTAATATAGAAGTAAGTAAACAGCTTGAGAAGTTGTGGATTTTCCTTACATTGAAAGAAAACTCTTTCTGGAACAGTTGGACCTGTTTGCCTTCTTCAAAAGATAAAAGAAGTATATGTAGCCACCATCTAAGACTAAGTACTTTTCCTAAAGCATGATTGTACAGTTAAGAAGATAACTTTGAGCCATACATGACTACTGTATTTTCAGAAATTGAAAATTCTAGTAATATATACCTAAACAAGAAAAACTTGCGGTATTAGTACTATTAATTATAATTGATGATGTTGGTGGCTCTTCTCTAAGTACTTAACTCAGATCATCTCATTAAATCTGCCATAGGGTGGGGGTGTTACAGTGGTAGAACACTTGCCTATTATGCCTAGGACCTTAGGTTCAATCCACAGCCCACAGAATTAGAAATGAATATTATTAGTCCTGTTACACAAGTAAAAAAACAAAGGCATATAGAGGTTATGTTAGTGACCCGGATTACACAGTGATGAGACCTAGATTTGAACCAATAAGTCAGAATCCAGAACTTGCATTGCTAAGTGCTATACTACATAGTCATTGTACATATAAGAACTATCCAAGCCAGTACTCAGAGAGGCAAAGGCAGGCGAGTCTCTGCGTTCAAGGCCAGCCTGGTCTACAAAGTGAGTTAAGGACAGTCAAGGCTACACAGTAAAACCCCAAATAAATAAATAAATATCCATTAATTCTTCCCTAACTTTGAATGTCCTGGCCAAATAAGAAATTCTAGGATGGAAAAAATTCTAAGCTATAGCTTTCCTTTATCTATCTGATGTTAATTTCTTGTTACCATTTACTTACTGACGCTTGTATTGGTTCTCTACTTTGTTGAATGTTTACAAACTAATTTGAAATTTTAATGTTGATATACTCTGCTTTAAAATATGTCACTTTTCTCATCTCTAGACCTTACCTGGGACCACCACCACCACCTCATCAGGGCCCACCCATTCACCATGTTCCTGGCCATGAAGGCCGTGGACCACCCCCACATGACATGAGGGGAGGTCCATTAGCTGAGCCCAGACCTTTAATGGCAGAACCAAGAGGGCCTATACTAGATCAGAGGGGTCCACCCTTAGATGCCAGAGGTAAGGGGAAACTGCATCACAATGCCAAATGTGGGTCTTCAGCTCTAATATGGGACTTGTGGGTCTTGGCAAGAATCTTTCTGATTTACCCACTAATCTGATAAATTAGAAAGGACACAAGACAGTTTCATAAGTGAGGGGAGATGTGACCAGAAGTTGGTAGCTACACATTGCTTTTCTTGCAACTTTCAAGGTGGAAGAGATCCCCGAGGATTAGATGCACGAGGGATGGAGGCCAGAGCTATGGAGGCAAGAGGACTAGATGCCAGAGGACTGGAAGCACGTGCCATGGAAGCCCGTGCTATGGAGGCCCGTGCCATGGAAGCCCGTGCCATGGAAGCCCGTGCCATGGATGCCAGAGCCATGGATACCAGAGGCCCCGTACCTGGACCTAGAGGACCTATGCCTAGTGGAATCCAAGGTCCCAATCCAATGAACATGGGGGCTGTTGTTCCCCAAGGATCCAGACAGGTAATGCTTGTAGCATGTACATAAAATCTTAATGTATTTGAGAATTGGTTACTGAGCCTGATTTTTATTGTCTTCCGACTTGAACCTGCTTGTTAGAAAGGAAAGACTAGGTTCTCCCTTTATTTTTTCATATCCCCTAGGGGAAGAGTATTCTAGCCTCCAATACTTAACCCAAAAGAACAAGATTGTTCACAATTTTAATGGCTATTTCATTAAAAAAAAAAAACTCTGAAAATATACAAGTCAGGGATTAATCTGCAATGGGGATACAAACCAACATCACTTAAAAAGCACCCCCCAAAAAACACTTGTGCAGAGTTTAGGTCATTTGAAATACCTCCCCCAGGTGATTTTAGTGTGCAATCCTGAGGTGCAGCATTTGAGGAGTTGCATATGAGACATTTACATTGCAATTTATAACAGTAGCAAAATTATTTTGACGTAACAATGAAAATAATTTTATGGTTGAGTGTGTCACTACAACATGAGGAATATATTAAAGGGTTATAGCATTAGGATGGTTGAGAAGTGCTGATTTAGATCATCTCAGGGTGATAGAAACCTATGTGGATTTACTGTCATCACAGCATTAAAATGAACAGTGGCATAGAAAAGGTAATCTGCATATGATTCTGAAACTGCAGTCTCTCTCATCTCTGTCTCCTCCACTCTATTCACTCAGCTGTGTGTATAGGATGCTTTGTAGTAGTTACCTCCTCATGTATCATCTTCAGTTGGTTGCAGGACGATGGAATATGCGTCTACCCACATTTCTATATGTTGATGTCTTCATTTTTTCCATTTTTCTTTTCTGTTTCCATTTATTTCTGTTTCTTTCCGTGTATTAGGGGTAGGGAGAGAAAATACCAAAGCTAGAATGCAACATGTCTGGCATCTAGTTCTCTTATTTTATAAGTTCGAAAGCTGGAGGCCAGAAAGTCAGGTTACTTGGCCAAATTCACTTGACTAAAAATATGACAGAGCAAGAAATACAGCTTGCTTTTCTTTTTTGCTGCTCTGTCTTATTTTATTTGCATGTGTGTGTTTGCGTGGATTTTCTTTAATTTGAGATAAAATGTGAAGTTTTCTTGGTATATATAGAATAAAAATGTATTTTCTGTTATTTCAAGTATCACTTTTAAAAACTCATTTTGGGCTTTGATTTTTGTTGTACCCTCTATGGTCAATAATAACCTCAAATTGCATGGTTTTTTTTTTTTATATATGCTTTCAGTAATTACTTTTTGAGCATCTACTGAATACCAAGCACATAGTACTAGGGATATAGTAGTGTAAATAGCAAAGTCTTGACATATTAGCTGAGGAGACAGATATCAAGTAACTATACACTGTGCTTATGTAGAGCATTTTGTGGGAAAAGACATTTAAAATGATGATGGATATCTTGCTCTTTTTTTCTCTGTTAGTGCTTGAGTTCATTGCTTTTTTTTCTTATTTTGAAAGGATATAAAAAGGTATTTATTGGAGATTTTTATTAACAAAATTGGAGCTGCCATATTAATATTCAAATAGATTTTAAAATAATGAATATACTAGGGACATTTCACAATTATTTAGAGGCAAATTCACTGAGAGTACTTAATAAGTCTAAATATTAATGTATCCATTATCAAAAATGGACAAAAATCAACAGATACAATTGGCTTTTTAAATAGCTGTATGTTGACAGAATAACAGAATATAAATAAAAAACACGATCAGATAAATAAGATGAAACAACCTAGTCTAGTTCTCCTAGGTGACATTATGGAACAATTCACTCAACAACAGCACAATAAACATTTTCATTATCCTTGAGAAATTTACTGAGATAGATCATATTAAAGTCTATAAAGCCAATTAGATACAAGGTAGAGAAAAATAAGAACTTAATATTAATTCTTTTTACATTTTTAACAGTTAATATAGTCACTTACAAATAAATACGTAAATAATACATTCAGTCATCTATAAAAGCTGTATGTTAGGAACCTCACTTCCTTTTCTATAACTCTCGCTTGTGATAGATAAAGGTACTTATTAGATTTAGACAGGGTCCCTTTATTTTGCACTGGCTGACCTGGAATTTGCTATATATACTGAGATGACCTTGAACTCATCAAGATCTGCCTGTCTCTCTCTCTCTGGAGTACTGGACTTAAAGGTATACTCCTCCACATCTGGCTTATATGATAGTTTTAGTGTAGCCTCCATTTTTATTCTTTTTATGACTGTTGGGATTTTTTTTATTTAATATGGCTTTCATTTAAATGTAATATGTCCTTCATTTAATCAATTTAAATTAGATTTTAATTTTAACTCCAGTCCATACGGTTAAAAGCTTGTAGCTAAAAAGCTTGTTGTTACTAGGGTGGTTATATAATTTGTCATACAAAGAAGGATGCATTTGAGAGGGAACATGCTGTTAACAATTTACTCTGAAACAAAAGTATAACTTGGGACTGCCAACCAAGCTATGTGGCCAGTCTGCCTAGAACTTCAACTCCTAGAAACTTCAACTGGCCAATGTTGGGTAGTTTATCTCAGGTTACTATTAATCAGCATTAGTAAATTCCCAAGTGACTACCCAAAGGTCGTTATGTTAGGATTCTGTGACAGAGTTATATGGCAGGTTCATAACTCAGACAACCCTACTGGTCCCACTTGGGAGGTTTTATTAGGGGAGGGGGTCACAGAGAACAACTCTGGGCAAAGTGGGCAAGTAAGAGAGAGAGAAGGGTGAGTCCTCTTCAAGATGACTCAGTGCATGTTCAGGTGGATGCAGGTGGTCCACAGGTGGCCTCACAGATGCCTGATGTCCCGTTTGTCCCAGTCCTGACAGCTGCCGTGATTCCTGCAACAGCCAAGAGGGGCAAGATTTTAATTGCCCTCTTATCCTGCTAGGCATCTGTTGAGTACAAGACCAGGACTGGTAAGGGCTCCTTTTCATTTTTTACCCCAACCTCAGGGAAGAGGAGCACCAGCATACAAATTCTTGACCAGCCAGCAGGCAAATGGTGGTAGACCTAAGTACCACAAAGAATCAAGGTATAATTAGCAGTAGGGCATCAGGGTTGAGATGAGTTATCAAGGACTATAATTTACTGCAGTCTAAGGAACTTAGCATTCCTATAGAGTGTGGCCTGGATGCCTTGAAACAGCTTGCCAAGCCAAAGCGGGTGATAATGAAAAAGATAGGGGGTTGTGGCAACATCAGAATCAGGGCAGTAGGTGAATGGTTAAGTAAGGTTACTTGACAGGGTCACCGGAGAAATTGTCAATAGTAGTTCTGAGTTGGTCCCAGGTGGGACACACAGCCAACAAGCTCTAAAACAGCCCAGTTGAGTGATATGAAGAAGCTTGTAAGCCAAGGTCAGAATCTGAAATAGGAGACAAAATGACATGTATGTATTATTTGGCAGGGGGGTTGTCAGAGAGGCAACAATCTTAGAGAAATGTTTAATTACCTTCTCTACTAATCCCAGCCCCAGGGATTGGGTAATTGGGATGTATTTTCTCTGGATATAGATGGTACTTATTGGTAAATTGGGTGTGAGACAGCGGTAAAGTTTTCCAAGGATGCCTGTTCCCCATCTGGGATCCCACAGGTCTCGGACTAAAAAGTAGGGTCTTTTTATACAAGTGAAGGAGCTTCTTCTGTGATGGTGCAAGGATTTGGTAAGACCAGTATGGGCAGCCTCCATATCTGTCCAGCCATTTCTTGCAATAATCTTTTGTTTGATCAAAGAGGAAGCAAACAAAAACTCTATCAAATAAGATATGGAGTTGATGGCTATTTCAATAGGCTTCTGACAGCCTCCCATAGCACAATTTCCCAACCCTATATGGAGATACTGTTTATTATCATTGATCATTTCTTGAAACTTGAATCTCCATAAGGATTACCTTGGACAGAAACAAGAGGGACAAGAGGGAGAGGAGGAAAAATACATATCCAATGCAGTAGGATCAAACACAGCTGCTATAGCGAGACCTCAGTCCTCTGGAACCAGAGACAAGGTGGTTGATCTTGGCGTCTTCTGGAACTTGAGGGAGCAGGGTCCTGTTGGAGTTGGTATGTAGGAGGGGGCATTATCTTGAAGAAAAGGATAAAAGGCTTGAGGTGAGATAGATGAATCCAGTGAGGGAAGCCCTCAAGCTGAGCAGCTGTGGAGGTCACAAAAATCACACTGAAAGGGCCCTGCCATTTAGGAGAAAGAAATGAGGGGCTTTGGTCTGGAGGAAAGAGAAGGACCTGGTACCCAATGTTAATAAGAGATGGATAGCGGTTAATGTGTGGCTGTATTAAACAGTAAAGTTCCATAGAAGAGAATGGAGATGACAGATTAAAGGAGTAAATAGGAGGTCAGGGAGAAGCAAGGATTTAGCTGAAAGACCAGGAATTAGGACCAGTTGTCCATACATGAGCTTAAAGGGCAAGATGGACAGAGGATATTTGGGTAGAGTTAAAAGCCTGAATAGGGCGAAGGGGGGAAGTTTTAATCAATAGAGGTGAAGCTCTTGTAATAGTTTAACAAAGGGTATTTTTTAAGGATCAGTTAGTTTGTTCTATCTTTCCTGAGGACTGGGGATGGTATGGGCTATGAAAATACCAAGGAATATTAAGAGCTTTAGATAAGGTCTGGGAAATCTGAGAAGTGAACTCAGGGCCATTGTCTGACTGGAGGGAGGTGGGGAGTCCAAAACATGGGATAATCTCACAGACAAGGAGATCAGAAACTGTCTCAGCTCTTTTGTTAGTAGTGGGGAATGCCTCCACCCATCCTATGAACATATCCACCAAGATCAGGAGGTTCTAGACACGTTTGACTGCTGGCATGTGGGTAAAATCAAGTTCCAGTCAGTCCCGGGGAGAGAGCCTCTAGCCTGGTGGGTAGGGAAAGGGGAATTATGATATCCTGAGTTAGGATCTGAAGTCTGGCAAATCTTACAAGAGGTAGTAATAGTCTTTAAGAAATGCAAGTCCTCAGGGCTGGGCT